TTGGGGTATATTCCCGGTAGTGGAATTGCTGGGTCAAATGGTATCTCTATTTGCAACTTTTTGAGAAAGTGCCATACCGCCTTCCACAGTGGTTGCACCATTTTACACTCCCACCGACAGTGAATAAGGGTTCCAGTTTCTCCACAACCTCGCCAGCATTTGTTGTTTGCTATTCTGTTAAATTTTGCTGTTCAGACTAGGATGAGATGATATTTCATAGTTGTTTGACCTTCTTAACTTTGAAAGCAACCCCATTTTTTCTCACTTGCTCATCTCTAGCATTGTAGATCATATGATCCGCTGATTCAAAATGCCCCCATGGTAATCCATCTCTTTTTGCTGACACCTGGTGTGACAATATTTATGTGCTCCATTTCTCTCTAAACAATGTCAATTTTCCTACATTCATGGTTCTCACATTCCAAGTTCCAATCACTAGTGTCTACTTAAAACTGTTCCTCCTTTGTATTTCCATATTTGAGGGCTCAGCCTCAGTTGCCATATACACTCGTCTACTCTAAGTGTGCTCTATTGTACATATGGTTTTCAAAGGTTCTGGTACTAGGGATATTATAGCTAATTTAGATGGATCTCGGCCAGAAGCAGAGAGTACCAAAGGAATGTCTATCTATGTTTCGTTGACTATACAAAGGCATTTGACTGTGTGGATCACAACAAACTATGGTTAACTCTGAGAAAAATGGGAATCTGCTTTTGCAGAACTGTGCTTGAACCAAGAGGTATTCATCAGAACAGAACAAGGAAAAACTGCATGGTTTAAAATTGGGAAGGTTGTATGCCAGGAATGTGTCCTAATTCCATACCTTTCAACCTATATGCGAAACAAATCATCCGGCTGGGCTCTATGAGGAGTAATGTGGCATCAAGATTGATGGAAGACTCATCAAGCACCTGCATTATGCAGATGACACAACTTTGCTGAAACTGAGGAGGAACCTGAAGCATTTGCTGCAGAAGGTCAGGGACTGCAGACTTCGATATGGATTGAAGCTCACATCAAGAGAACAAAGATTCTCACCACTGAACCAGGTTTAGCAGCATCAGTATGGACGGTGAAGAGATTGAGATTGTTAACAGCTTTGGTTTGCTTGATTCCACAGTCAATACTCTTGGTAGCCAGGAAATCAAGGGATTAATTACACTGGGAAAGTTTGCTGTGAGGGACAGTTCCAGAGTACTGAAGAACAATGATAGCAGTCTGGAGACCAAGATCCAAGCTATGGAGTTCACAATTACATGCTATGAATCAGAAAGCTAGACAATGACTAGGGATGTTAGAAGGAGAATTAATACCTTTGGGATGTGAAACTGGAGAAGCGTATTAAATATACCATGGACTGTTAAGATAACGTACTGGTTCTTTCTGGAGAGGGAGACTAGGCTGCTCCTTGGAGGCAAGGATTTCTGAGGCTTCATCTGACATACTTGGGGCATGTTACAAAGAGGGACCAGTCCTTAGAGAGGGACATTATGCTTGGGAGGGTGGAGGGACAGTGCAGGAGGGGAAGACCCTTGATGAGATGGATTGATGCAGTGACTGGAGTAATGGAGATAGGTGTATCGGAGACAGTGAGGTTGGTTCAGGATAGAGCAGGGCTCAGAGCTGTTGTACCTATGGTTGCTTTGAGTCGCAGGTGACTCATTGGCACAGAAACAGAAACAGCCAAGTTTTTATTTTTTTCATACTGAGGATTCATTAACTATAAACTAAAATTGTGAGAATCTTTGTCTTCTTGACATTGAGCCTCAGTCCATACTGAAGGCTGCAGTCCTTGACCCTTCGCAGCAAGTGCATGAGGTCCTCCTCAGTT